CCCTTTCATATCTATTTAGTCCAGAGAAGTCTGTGATATGGCATTGCTCCAGACTAGCAACAAAATCTCTGCTTTTATAGAGGTGCTCTATCTGGAGATCAGATAATACAGGCATCTAATTATCCACACCGGGTTTCTATTTATCCTCTTAATTTCTACTGAAAACTGAGTTGCTTGTGAGCTACATAAGCAGCACAAATGAATTCAAAAGCACAAAAATAATCAAAATAAGCAACATCAGCTTCTAACGTTTTTGTTATCAGTTAAATAATTAAGGTTTTATAGGATTAGTTAAGTCTCCACTTAAGCCATCTACGTCCACTGTGAGCGACCATCTTTGAACAGAGGCGGTGGTTTACAACACCAACTGTCTGCCATCTATAGTCCAGTTCTGAGATCCCTCCCCAGACGCCTTAACGCCCACTCACATCCTGGGCCATCTGACCTCAGGAATTCGCATGATAAGGTGGGGCCAGGTTTCACAATGAGCTCACCCGAAACCCTGGCTGATTGGGACCGACACCCAGTTTCACACCTTGGCTCATGTGATTACGAAGTCCAGACGCTTTTCTTTGCAAGCTCCTCTGACTACGATGACCTGGATGACTGAGAACCTTCACAGACTTAAGTCTCCGCTGTTTTACCCATAGACTGTATATAAAGATGGATGTTTTCTCTGGCTGTGGAAAATGAAGCTTATATGAAATTGGCTTAAGCTCTTTCTCAGTGCCAACAGGGGGAGACTGTGTTTATAATAGAGATGGCACGATACCACTTTTTTATGTCCGATACCGATACCAATATCATAAATTTGGATATCTGCCGATACCGATATGAATCCGATATAGTGTTTTTTAATCAACAAAACTGTTTTTTAAATATCTTGCTGCATTTTGTATAAGTTCATACTCAAGTTTAAAACAACAACTACACTAAAGCTATTCTGTTATACCTGTATCCAAAAAAAATATTTCATAGTTCAGCAATACTGATCAATCTAATAAACTTAAACCTACACCATCCTCCCTATTCTGGTATTTTAAAGAGTACTTAGCATATATATTAAGTAGGGGTGCAACGATACACAAAATTCACGGTTCGGTTAGATACTTTGGTGTCACGGTTCGATATTTTTTCGATACAAAATAAAATGTTCATGCCTTTTTAATTTGTCATTTATTAAAATTATAAATATATATTTTAACTCAAAAGTACAGTTTTTAAATTTAACTCTAACCCTTGTGCGCGTTTTTTATTTTGACAGCGAATGCGCACCTGCGGACCACTTATGTGCAGCCCTGGTTATTTAGCTCGTCATATTGCAGCCACAGAAATTCTTTTGTCCATGAAACCATAAAGCTGCACTTTCTTTTTGCCTTATAGTCTGATTTGTCATAACTTCTCCGTTTTGTGGTAAGCTTTTCTTTGGCTGTCACTTCTTCACCCTGACCTGTCTTATTTGGCTCAGCAGAACTAAAATATATATCTGTCTGTGAAGGTTCTCAGTCATCCAGGTCATCGTAGTCAAATATAAATCCTGCTGCTTTTACACACGCACTCACATAAGCTCAGCGATTCTCTGCGCGATCAACCTCTCACATGTTTAAGCTTGCTGCAGGAGATTTCACTTGTCATGTTTGCATAGTAAGCTAACGATTAATAAGACGATGTCAGAGGAATTGGTGCACAAATTATCATCACTCACAGATCAGTGCTGTCGCTCTCTATACACAGTTCGCACGATTGCAAAGTGAAAGCAAAAAAACAAGCGCAAATTCAAACGAGATTTCAATATGTCACATATTGACAGTGGCTCACCGATGCCAATGACATAATTACCCAGCTACATTTCTGAAAGAATGCAAAAGCATTGACATATATTTTTCCTTCCTACAATAGCCCGACGGGCAGGGTAGCCCGTCTGAAAAAAAATCGCTAGCCCCAGGACGTCGGGCTAGCGATTTTGCGAGCCCTGTATCTGATTGAGGAATCACTCATCTTTGGAAAAGAGTTTATTACAGAGAAATGCCTCTTTCCAAAATAAAAGCTATACTATCCGCTTCTTCTGGGCTATATTCTCAGCAGCATAAGGAGAATCATGTGCTAACAGCTGTCTAAATGACTCGGCTAAAGTTAGTAGCATGCATGCTTGTTTTTTTTCTGCTTCCTCTTGTCTTTGCACTAGGATGATGTCGGCGTAAATGTGCAGTCATATTCGTTGTGTTCCCACTAGTGCTTTCAGGTTAATCTCGTTGAAATGACCTTAACGCCACAACACGGCAAATCTCCGTTAACGAGCTACCGCCGATCGCCCCGTGCATGGGGCTAGACGGCCAACACGTTAACGAGCTAACTGCGCTAACACACTAGTTCCCACCCATGTAATTGAGCATTGCATGGCGCATCCAACATACTGTTTTACTTTAGTCCATGACTCGCTTACCTTCAGGGTCATACGTCACATGAAAACCAAAATAATTCCAAACGCCAGATCTGAATGAAAGTGGGGAACGTCCATGTTGCAAGGAGAGCTTAACTTCTGTCTTGCTAGCTTGCCCTGCGCTCTTCCTTCTGACTATGCTGTCTGTGTTGAGCGCTCAGTGAATCTGCGTTCGACTGCTCCGCCTAGGGTCGACAGTGCAGCCTAGGCGGAGTAGTCGAACGCAGATTCACTGAGTGCTCCACACAGACAGGATCGTCAGAAGGAAAGTTGATAAAATAAATTACAAATGTTGTATTGTTCGATACATATGCGTACCGAACCGAAAGCACTGTATCGAACGGTTCAATATCGATACGAATATCGTTGCACCCCTAATATTAAGCAACCTAACTAATAGGGTTCCAACTCCCAGCAACAACAAAAATAAATAAATAAAAAATAGGGAACCACCCCTCACGCTCCACCTCATGATGCTTAATCGACGTAATCAACCTTAATTTGATGCAGTGTGGAAAAAAAATGCACAGAAATCAATTATTTTTCAAGAAATATTAAATAGATTCAACATCTTTCTTCAACAAAATTGCAGACTGCACAGATGCTACCTTCACAAAGGAAAAAGTACTATAGCTTACTAGGGTATATATATATATATATTAGACTTAATAGTTACTATATACAGTAATGGACTTCTATTCATTTTGCATCAAATTAAAACTTTGGCTGTCAGATAATTATTTATTAAAAGCTAGACATTTTAAATGAGAATAAGAAAGAAAAGTATGTCTTTGTGCCCCCTTTTCCCTGTTAATGCCCTATCGGCCCCCCTGGCTAAACTTTGCTAGATCCGCCCCTGCACAGTTACCAGCCGTCAGCTACGTAGAAAAAGATCCTCGAGTAGAAAGTAATATTAAATAAATTCTAACAACAGCTGATCAAGCTTAAACGTGCTGCTGTTGTTCAGCCGCTGGTTTCCTCTTTCTGGTGCAAAGTGGGCCAAAAGCAAACAAGAGAGACGTACTCCAGACAGAAAAACCGATCAGCTGATCGTTAAGCAGTTTCATGATTGAAGTAGCAGCAAGAAGAGGCAGTCGTTTGTTAAGCTTAACGCAGGAATGCTTTACAAACATTCAGAGATGGACTTACACACTTGCTTTACTTCTCTCGGGATAACTTTGTCGGAGATGAAATGCCGGGTTGCTAGCGAAGCTCCAAATGCTATCCAGACCACCGACAGGTCCCGCATGCCACAGCCGCTCTATCACGTGATGCATACTGCTCCGACGTGCTAACGTTCTGAGGTGAGTTACGGCGTGTTGCAAGTTTTGTGAGGTGCTTTCCTGATATTTAATGGATCGGATTACATTTTTTATTTTTCTCCGATATCCGATCCAGTAATTTAGGTCAGTATCGGACCGATACCGATATGTAATATCGGATCGGTCCATCTCTAGTTTATAATAGAAATAAGTTTGACTGTGTTGAAGCTCACTTCATAAACCCTATTAAAACAATCTAAACTTTAACCCTGTAAAACTTGAATTGACAGGAAGTTATTTTTCTTTTAATTAACATTTTCTTGACTAGCCACTTTTTTTAATTTGCATATATGAGTTTTAACTTGTATTATATTTGCTATATCCAGAAGTTAATGCAATTTATTGCTTTAAAAGGTGGTGGTGGTGGTGGTGGTGGTGGGGCGGGGGGGGGGGGGGGTGGCACTTGGCATTAAAGGGTTATTTATCTTACAATTGTAGAAAGAGGTCTCAGTCTCTACTTGCTGTTCTTTTTCTGGTGCAGCATGATGTTTGTTCAGTAACTTATGGTCCTGTTTAGTGTTGCTAGATAATGACTTGCATGTGTTATGGGGGGGTGGGGTTTTTTGTACTGTAGTGTGCTGTCCCTCTGTTCCTGATTTTGGTACAGACCATTCATAACATTCTGTTTCCAAACCCTTAGATGCCGATGCAAAACTCGAGGCTTCAAGCTGGGACTTCACTAACCGATGAACAACATTACTGAACACTGACTGCATCCACAGGCTATAAGTACTGTCCACGTTAAAATGTTAAATAATTTGTATAGTAACTCGGATCTTTTTTTAAATTATTCAGATAAACAGAAGTTTTTTTTCACAATATAAAGCAACTAATTCATATTTCTTTGAAATAATCCTACTTTACATCTGTAGATAAAACAATATACCATGTTGCTAAGGACCATTTCCTCAGCTTGTTGTAACATATTAACATATTTAAGCTGTAAAGGCCTGAACATGCCACTAATTTAGAATTCGTAATGGATGAGCAATAGGGTGACTAGAGAAGTCTGAGTCCTGTGTCAGCAGGTGTTTTTCCTGTTATACCTAACAGCTTAGTCAATAAACCAACCCCTCTACAGTGATAAGCAAATGTGAATGTCATACATTTCTGCAGCTTTGGATGGGATGCAACGAGGGAGCGGCCGCAGTTTCCACATACCTTCAGTTACATTCGACAGCATTTCTGCTGAGACAGAAACCAAACAGCTTCTACATAGCATAATAATAATTTTGAAGTGAGAGAAATAGAAGAGGTGCTAAATTAACGATCGATCCAGCTGTAATCTGTCTAACGGCTTACAGTCAGCATGGTTACGGTGGACTTCAAGACACTCACAGCACCGGTGGGCATTTTAAGGATACTGGCAGTGGTCTTAACCTGCATCTCCTTCAGCCTGGTGGCATCACTGGGCCACACTTCTCTGTCCTTCTGGGTCTGGTGCATGTTCAGCTGGTGTTTCTGCTTCTGCATCACCTTCCTCGTGCTCCTCCTGGAACTGACAACTCTAAATACAAAGCTGCCCATCTCCTGGGATGACTTCACTGCTGCATTTGCCATGTTGGCTACCCTGATGGTATGTGTCGATTTTTATTTTTTAAACTCTAATGTCATTTGTCTGTTCTTGCTATAGCTGTTGCTGCAGGTTGTATGAAGGACTAGCCAGCTTTCTTCATGATCACTGCCACTGAGACTTTGCTAAAGAAAATAAAAGTGTTTTAACCTGAACTTAAATTTAAAGGTTTCATACGGCTCAAACTACTTTAAGTACAATTAAACTACTTCATGAAAAATAAGAGGCAGATTAACTATGTTTTTAGAGATAGACATATCAACACCCTAAATGATGAGTTTAAAAGTCCCATGGTAGAGCTTTATTTTTTTGCAGCTTTATCAATAATCTATAACTAGTTAAACGGAGTGAAACACAAGAAATCAGTCAAAATCAACTCTGAGTAAAAAAAAATTCCACCCTTTCTTTCACACAGATGTTCACAGCAGCTGTTATCTATCCATATTTCTTCGTCTGCTCTAGCTGCGGCAGAGGTATTGGTGCCAGTGTCACGACCTGCTTGGCCTTCATCCTCTACGCCGTTGAGGTGGGGCTAACCCGGGCCAAACCTGGTGAGATCAGTGGATTCCTTTCCACAGTCCCAGGCCTCCTCAAGGTTTTAGAGGCCTTTGTGGCCTGCATCATCTTCATCTGTTTGGACTTCACCTTTTACTCTATCTTCCCGGGGCTCCAGTGGTGCGTTGCCGTCTACTCCATCTGCTTCATTTTTGCCCTCCTCGTCATCATTTTTACCATCGGCCGCCTGCTGTCTCTCTTCCCTGCGCCCTTCGACAAAGTCTTGACGGTGTGCAATGTGCTGGCAGTGCTGATGTACTTCACAGCTGTGGTCATTTGGCCATTTTACAGCTTTAGGAACAATTTAGGCAGCAATAATTTTTACATAGTCATTACTGTGATGACCTGCTTGAACCTCATTGCTTACATTGTGGATACAGTTTACTCGTTTAAGCTCGTCTTCTTCGTCAGCAGAACATAGGTTGCAAAAAGTCAGCTTGAACTTATCTTTCATTGATTGATTGATTGATTGTATGATAGTTATTTTTATGATGGTTTATGTCATTCTTTTACTGCAGATTTCATATTAATTAGAGTAGCTTTTTTTAAACACGATTTTGCATTTTTTGAAGCGTTAACGTAGCTGTGGTTGATTCAGGGTTTTTTTTATTCAGGTTTATGAGCCTGTAAAAGTACCGAGTGGGAAACTCATTCAGTATAGTTTCTTACAAATCTCACCCTGATAAAGAACATTAAAATCCAGTCATTGTGGTTACTGAATGTTATTGAACAAGCCTACATACCCATGTGGTTGTTTTAGCACCTCGGTAATAAAGTATGATAAGTAAATCTTAAATAAATACCACTTTCATGGTTTCATGGTTAAATAATGAACTCCCCTTTGAGAATGTTTGCAAAGGTGTGTCCAAGTGTGCATATCCTGCAATACACACAGCTATGGGTTTTGAGCTAACAACTCCACTCCCTTTTTTTGATTATGGGCATGGAGTAAGTGAAAGAGAACAAAAAAAGAGCAGATTTAAGAAAGTTTTTTCTTCTTGTAGTTTTTTTAAAAGGCAGTCTTTAGCTGTTAAAGAAAGAAGCTGCTTTGTTTTGTCCTAATGATTTAACTGCTGATGATGAGCTGAGCTGTCGAACGGCTCCTCATGTGTGTTTACACAGGAAAAGAATTACTGGACGTTTACTGCCAGAACAGGTTTATTTAGGTTTATTTATTCAATCCAAAGCTCTAAAGCCAGTTGGAACAATAATCAGTGACGACTTTGCTGTTTGATTAGTCTACAATGGTTCTGGTTATTCTTTCAGTAAACAGTGAAAAATGCACAGTTTAAACTGGTTGTATTTGGATTTTGTCCAAACAGTAATAAAACATTATTTTTATAAATATTTTAAAGTTTTTAAAGATGAAGCACACCTTCACTCAGTGTCACAAAATAAAAATTTTCCTTAGTAAATCTATTACTTAAAGGGAGAGTACAGGATAAGTACTTTTCCATTTTAGTTTTCTTTTAACAGACCATTCGAACCATAAAAGCAGTTGCTCAAGGTTAGCCCAGTTTGCTTATCAGAGTATAAGTAATAAAACTGATAACCACTAGCATATATGGTTGAAGCGTAACCTTTCACCCATCATGTACAGCAACCCGCATACAAAAATGGGAACAACTATGAAAAGTGATTGTATGTAGTAGTATGTAGTTTTGTGAGCAATGAGAGATTTTGTTTTTGTTTTTTAAAAAAGGAAAAAGCTACAAAATGGAAAAACTGGAGAGGAAGAGACCACATGGGTCACATCCACATTCTGCATCTGCAGATTTAATGTGTGTTAAAGTACCGTAGTGATTGTGTGTTCTTTTAAATGTATTCTTATAAATGTACACTTTTCTCTGCTTCTTTGTTTTGTGGTTTGTTTAACGTTTTCTTACATTTTAAATATTCCATGAATGTTTAAGGAAATGAATCATATGATGTCCAATGTGTTAGTGTAAATGGAATAGTACTTATATAACAGTACTTATTATCTATTCTAACCCTCATTTATCCAACCTTTCACACACATTCGTACAAGCTCTTCATTCTATAGCACCTTTTGTAGCTTTCACGCTAACACTCACACGGATGCACCATGGAGGGAACTCAGGTCAGTGTCTTCAGTGCCTTGCCCAAGGATAGTAGCCAGGGATTTTACCACTGCCACCCACTAAAATTTAAAAGCTCAATAACATAACTTAGTGTCCCAAATTGCTCTCTTTTAACTACACAGAAGCAATAAATCAAGTCAACAAAACTACAGGAAAAAAACGCATTTGTTTCTAGGATATGACCTACACCCCATCACTATGCTGTACTGAGCTGGGTTTGTGCCAAAGACCAGAGTCCAGTGTGGGTTGCGAGGCTAACATGATAACGCTCATGAGTATCCAATCAATGGCGTGAAACAGGGGTCATAAACAGCTCAGATAAGCCCAGGATGCTCTGAGTGAATGTGCACCACCACTTGCGTTTCTGTTTCAAAGAACACACCTGCTCTGGTCTTTGCCTTCATGGACATCTTTAGCTGCTATCATTTAAGCTGGTTTCAAAGTCAAAGGCTTGCTGTACACTGAGTACAGTAAACTGACTTGGAAAACCAAAGAATACTTTTTTTTTTAAGGTCAAAGACACTCATCCTGTCCAGACATGGTGAATGTAGATGTCCGATCCCTTACCCAGCCAGTGGGGATCATGCGAATAATGGCAGCTATCCTCACTTGCATGTGTTTTAGCCTGGCGGGAGCGGCAGGAGCTAATTCATCTTCCTACTGGGCGTGGTGCATGTTCACTTGGTGCTTCTGCTTCTTCTTCACGTTTCTGATTGTCATCCTGGAGTTCACCACCGTCAACAGCAAAGTACCTTTCGCCTGGGATGACTTCACTACCGCTTTTGCAATGCTTGCGAGCCTCATGTGCCTGATCGTCTCCATCATCTACCCCACTTTTTTCACTTGCAAAACCTGCCATCGTGCTATCGGTGCCTCCATGGTCTCCTGGGTTTGTTTCGCCACATATGCAGGTGAGGTGGTCTTAACACGCCTTTATCCTCGTGGGGAAACCAGCGGGTTCCTCTCCACGCTGCCGGGGATAATGAAGATGCTGGAGACCTTCATTGCCTGTCTCATCTTTGTATCCCTGGATCAAGGCCAGTACACTGGTAATTCAGGACTCCAGTGGTGTGTGGCTGTGTATTCCTTGTGTTTTATCTTTTCCATCATCATAATCCTGCTCACCCTCGCACAGCTGACCTCCTACTTGCCGATCTCCTTCGACATGGTGGTGATTGTCTATAACATTTTGGCAGCAGTGATGTACACGACAGCTATGGTGATCTGGCCACTCTACAGTTTCTCTAAGAACAAACAAAGACCCCCTAACTGTGGTCACTTCTGTCCCTGGGATAAGCTGGTGGTGGTCACCTTCATGACAATCTTTAACTTTATTGTTTACACCCTGGACGCTGTGTACTCGATACGTCTTGTGTTCTGCATCATGAATCGTGAAGACTAATATGAAACAAAACATGCTCTGTGTTTGCATCACTCTTAATAGAACAAGGTTATAAAAGTGTTTCAATTTTTTATAAACTTGTGTTATACAGCTGCTGACCAAATAACGAATCCAATATAGTCTATTATAATCTAAAGTGCTGTCTTAAATAACTGCATAAAAGAAATGTAAAGTACCAAAACATACTCAGTTAATGATTAGATCTGTGGTATCACTGTCGTAAGATCTAAAAACAAAACAAATATCTGAGGGGAACTTTGGATCCTGAGGTGATGGAACAGTACAGGTAATAATGTTGAGGTCATCTATAGCTCTGCTGCGTCGTGTAGTCAAATTATATGCCAAATAAAGGTGGGTGTGTTCACATTCATCTTTTTACTTGACGGTGTCACAACTTTCTGATGAAAGGAAGAGTTTGACAGTTGACATTTCGCTGTATAATAAACATGGTGGTTATTTTTCAAAAAAAAAATGAAGGCCAAGAGCAAAATGTTATTGATGCACTCTTGAGTATTAGCGTAAAGCCTGACTGATATGTTATTTGTTTAGGCCGATACCGATATCTGCTGATTTAAAAAGTCTGATATCCAACATTGGATGATATAAATGTAAACAGATTTCAGCCAATAACTGCACATTTGCTGTTTGTAGTTTATATACTTGTTTACATTCTGGCCAGTCAGCTGGTTGTTGTGTTTGTGGCAACTTTCCTGTTGCCAACAAGAAAGTTACTGAATGCCCTCTGCTGGTCAAACTTCTCGGCATGAAGACTCGTGCTGCATGAGTGCTTCTCCAGTCCCTTGGTTACTTTTTAATTTTCATTTACTGGCCAATATAAATGCCAGTACAGTCAGATCGACATTTAGATAACGGTATCTCCTTCGAAGGTGAAGGTCGATATTGCTACCTTCATGTAGAACCAAGTATCCTGCATTGAAAAGTGAAAGCAAAAGTCTAGTATCATTTTGTTTGTGCTGAACTACCTAAAAATGAACGTGTCCTAGTTTCAACAATAGTAATCTACAAACCAATGCGTGACATTGACATGTATGTTCATCTTTTAGATCCAGTTAATAACAACTGTTTCCATGTTCCCAGACTTTCTGCTATTCGGGTGTGGTCATCTGAATTATATAATAAAGACCACATTTTGTTCCCTAAATGTCAAGCCAGTGTTGCAGATAAATATATAATAAAACCAAAATCCTTAGTGTGCAGCACAAACAGGAAAATATAAACACTGAAAGGCAAACAGACCTGTCACTGAGATGGGGCTGGAAGAAATGAGAGAAATACAGGGACTTTTTTTTTTTTAAAGGCGGAGATGAAGCAGAGACAGCAGTGAGACGGCAAGAAATTTCCAGACCTTGGTGGGATACGTGGGAAAGTTAAAAAAGAAAATGAAGTTGGATTTGTTGGAAGGTGTTTTCTTTCTTTTTTTCCCCCCTTTCTTTCTTCTTTGGAGATGTGCTGGGCAGGCCTGGAAAGCTAGGAAGCAAAAAGTAGGACCTCAGTTAATTCTTTTAAAACAGCTTCATCCAGATCTTACATGTAATCCCAAAAGTATTGTGCTGCCCGGTATACCAATCTGTGTGAGTGAGCTTGGGTCAAATAGAGTAAGTGAAGCATGGAAATTTAGCTTTTCTTCTCATGTCAGTCTGTCAGAAGGAAAGACCACATTTAAGTAAATCGTCTATATATGCCAGACGTGACAGTAAATTGGATTCTGTAAGGTGTGCTTTGATTTAGATTACCGAATGGACAACTCACGATCAACAGTTCACGAGTTTCTTCCACTTCAGGGGGGAAAAGAGGTATGAAAAAGTACACTGTACAACACATCCAAAATGTGCCTTCCTTATTAAAAGGAGTTGCAGTAAAATGTATTTTGTGACTGTATTTACTATTCAAAGCATCTATGTAAAGAGGTGTTACATTTAGTGTGGTTAAATCAACCAACGCTTTCTCCCTGTGTGTTTGCTCATTAAATACCAGCAGAGTTAGTGGTAATCATTAACTAGTTCTAACTTTTAGTTGGAATACTAAAGTAATAGTGGGGGTATGTCACCAGGGTGCAGAGGAGGCTACCCCCCCCCCCTGTCCCCTTCTGGCTGCCTCTGCCTCAATTTTATCCCACAACTTAGACATTCACATTATTCACACTCTCATTACACATACATATAGGATCTTGGGGGTGGGCACAATCACGGAGTCCAAATCACCATCAGGGTGTATACCTCACCCCTGACGTCGTTGCCCACCTCTCAATTTTAAATACACTTAGTCATTGAGGGCTAGCAGGAGGGACCATGCGCTTACCTGCTGCTCCTTGGCAGGTAGCTCCATGCCCTCCTGGGTTTTAATTGCACCTTAGAACACATATGCATCAACACTACAATGAGCGGGTGGAGGGAGGTTTGG